AAATTAACAGTGATTTTGCCAAAAAAGACTGTAAAGCAAAAAGAGGGATGCTTGAGTAATTTCTGGGTCAGTTCTAAAGAAAAGCTTTCAAGGCCTCTTTTGGGTCATTATAAAGAAAAGGTGAAGTAAGGATGATTCTAAAATGAATACTTGGAATACAAAGATACTTAAGGTAATTTTAAATACCTTATGTTGGGATGGATCACAGTTACATTTCAATCACATAAACAAAAATTCCCTAGTTTACTAACAGAATTAAAAATGCTTTCAAAAACCCTGTTTTCCTTTTTTTTTTTTTTTTTTGTATTTCACATATTGGGGAGGTTGCAATATTCTTGCCCTCCTGAATTCCTCTTTTTATTCCTCTCTCCTTTTTTTCTGAATGCCAAATACATGTGTTACGAATACTGATGATTTTTAAATAGAACATGCGAAGCATCAACCACTTGTCTTCAGAGATGCCGAAATACCCAAACACCCAAGAGTAGGTTTTAGTAGAACTGCCATCATGCCCTGCCCGCGGCTCCAAGATGATTTCAGATGCCCAGGGTCAGTGAGTTCCATGGTCCCCACTGTGTGTATCCAACATGGGGGATTGTGTGGAACTTACTTTGGTTCACACAACTCTGAGAAGATTTTGTTCAGTTATAAAACAACTCTAATAATATCCTAAATTCAAGTAATATGGAATTACTCATACGGTTTGACTTTCAGAAATCCCTGTAACCTTGAGATGGGTTCAACTCTCTGGAGGCTCAGGCGAGGTTTGCTCATTGTGTTTTCATAGCGAGAGTCTTTTTAGCCAGCCTGGAGCCCTGGAAACAATGGTCATTTTCTGATGTATTACAGTCACAAACCATATTTAAAAAATGCAACCTATGCTGCATGTGTGTTTGTGAGGACCATTAGCTACCTAGAAAACTCTACTTGGCTTAAAAATGTGTCACGTTGTAACAATCTGACATTTGTGTCACTGATGTTAAATACAATACATGTTTATCAGCTTGAAAGAGTCGTAGGGACCTTGTAGATCGAGTTAAAGTTGGCACAGCACAGCCGTGGTATGATAGGAGGTGTCATGGATGTGGAGCTCAGAGCTAGAGGAGCTGAGTTCAAGTTCCAGCCCTTCCGTTGGCAACTTCGTGACTTTGGCCATGTCACAAAGGCCATGACAAAGGCCATGTCTGAGCCCTGGATCCCTTGTTTGAAAATAGGGGTATTCATGACCTCCTATTGCAATGGGTTGTCGTGAATTGTGTTTATTAATGGTTCATACTCTAGCTCATTCCACACAGGATTTGAAATATGTGTATATTTGAAGATAGAATATATTTGTTAGTGCTTTGGAGATTATACTAAAGTAAACCATGGGCTAGTACTGGTGGGACCATTTGGATTTCAGGGGAGAGCTGTCCCTTAGAATGAAGGTGCCCCCAAGCAGATGTCCAGACTTCCATGTGACAATTTCAAATGGAACAAGTATTTATCCATAGACGTCTGTTGACATAGACTAGTTATAGGTGCCAATGTACAGTAAACCTATAGGAAGACTACCCAATACCTTTTGACTGAAAACCATTTGCAACTAGTGAAAATATCAGATTTTCCCATACCTAATGCATCTTATTTGAAAGGACGTAACGACAAAAAGCTCTTAGGGACTCCGTGACTCTTCAATACATTTGTATTTTGTTAATCATAACAAACATTCACAAATCCTTGAGGAAGAGTAGGCCACTCAGGTGTAGGTGTGAGTCACTGCTATCCAGCCTGAAGACACTGGGTTTGTGGTGCTTAGAATCCGTGGCTGCCTCGCCGTCACACAGAGGCCGCAAGTGTCAGTGGCCCGACAGTTCCTTTAATTCCTTGTATTATTGGGTGCCGTTTGCTTTAATCCTGGGTTACTAACCATGCTTATCTGCCCTCTGCATCTAAGACCTTCTGAAGGCTGCCGTGGCTCGGCCTAACAGCTTTTATCGGCTTGCCCAGCAGCTCTTCCGCTGTGAGCTGGAAACCCAGGAGCTAACCACTGGCGCCGAGGCCTCCTGAACACGCCACTGCTTTCCTCCTCGGCTGATTGCTCTTTATCGCAAGGCAGCCGGGACCCCTCTCCTCCTTCCCTTTGTCCAAGTGAAATAGAACCTCAGGACAGAAGAGAGTGCCTATTCTGCCACGACCCCTCCAATTCCCAAGCCTCCATTTGACCTAGAGAGGAATTGCTGGGCATGTTATGATTGCAGCAAGGTCAGGCGGACTCTCTTCTCCTATATTTTAAGTGCCTTTGATTTCCCCCTCTAATATCTGTTTAGTATATGTAGCTGATAGTAAAATTGTTAATCTAGTTCAGTTTATCTGACAAGCATGCTTACTTTTCTTTCTTTTCTACTGAGGTTGTCTAGGGGAATTCATTAAGTTAGCTTCTGTTGTCTTTTAAATTAAAAAGAAGAAAAAAGAAAACCTACCTCCTAAACAGTGGAACTATACGTTACAGTTCATGTTACACAGAAAAACTGTACAAATCATGAAATAAGGATTTTCCCTCCTTCCTAGTTGATGAAGGTGCATTTTCAGTGACTGCAGGAGAAACACAGGCTTGATAAGGGCTCTCCACTACACATGATATCCAGCAATTACAATTTCTCCGAAAGTGATAGCGTTTGAGGACCCACGTGCGGGGGGGAGAGCGTACACGCTGGCGGTTAAAATGCTTTGACTTCAAGGTAGGCCAGATGGGCGGCGGAAGCCCACTTCCCACTTCCCCGCTGTGCATCCTTGAACAGTGACTGAAATTCTTGAAGCCTTCATTTCCTCACATAGAAAATGGTGATGCTTCCGACCTATAGGATTCTCCAAGGATGAAAGGAGGCAAACATGTAAAGAGCCTAATAAAATGTTGGGCCCAGAGCAGACACCACAGAGATGGCAGCAGCTGCCAGTGTTGGCTTGTTGTTATTGACAAGCTGAGATAGACAAATAAAAGGGCAAATGTGACCTGGAAGGCTAGGGCTTTTTTTGGTTTTGTTTTTATTTTTTGTTTTTGTTTTTTGTTCCTCTCTTCTGCTAAGATCAGTTTTGAGAACCTCCCTCAGAAGGACCGGAATCTCCGCGCTGGGGGTGGTCTGGATTCGCTGCCGCGAGCCCAGGCCCAAATGTGAGACTGACTCCTCGCCGCTGCTTCGCGGCATCGTACGATGGGAGGAGCTGCCTGTCCTGGTCGGGTTAGGGCGCTTCACTGCACTTCACTTTTTGTTAGCAGAACCTTTTCTTTTCTTAACTTCACTCCTTGATACTATTTTTGCAAGGGATAGAAAGTCTCTCTCCCTCTCTCCAGTTTTCTCCTCCGTGGAAAGAACTTAACATCCCATTTGGGGAAATTGTAAAGCTGAAAGGATTCAAGTTTAAAATAACACAGAGAGTGAGTGAAAAGCTGCCCATCGACCTTCATGTTCGTCTTCATCCGGCGAACATTTCCATGCATTTCCATGAAACCTTTCTTTCAAAGACACAGAATTCATCTTTAATTTGCCTTGTGCTATTCCCTCTTTTGTATTTAATGGGTCCAGTGATTTCCATTGCTTCAATTTAGCATTTGTCAATCACAACTAGCAACGCACGTTATGGCGTTAAGAGGAAATTCCTCAGGCCGCTCCTCGCCCTGGGGAAGGGCAACGCCTGCTCCTTTCCCATCAGGATGCCAGGATTTAGAGGTCAGCGTGTTTCCCCACCAACGCTTAAGGCTTTGGGGATCAGGGGAGTGCTGGGCTCCACGCGGCGTGATGGATGGCGGCTGCCGACTGGCTGGGTTTGCCTGTTCGGCACAATGAGCGGGCACTTCGTGTGCGAAAGCACGCCCAGCATGCAGAGTGAGCCAGGCTGGGGCCCTTTTCCTGGTGCTAAACTGTGTTTTTCCTCTTGGAAGAAGTTATATTGAAGTGTCTGTTAGTGGCACTCCAGTGGGTTAAGGCTCCATGAGGGTTGATAAGCTCTATGGCCTAAAATAAACAAAATACCCCCCCAAAACAAAAACAAAACCCATCAGCCTTTAAGCAGGGAGCTGAAGGTTTCAGTTGCCTGGACTGGAAAGAGTCTGAAGAGGTGATTATGTTAAGCAAGTAATGTGTTTCAGTAACATGGAATCAAATTAATAGGGTCAGTAACTTCCTGGCTTTCCCAGTGCATTAAATGAAGACATAACATTGCCTTTGTGCGGGGTGTTTCTTGATGTCGGCGCTGTCTGGTCCTATGTTCTTCACAGCACGTCACCTCTAACTTCACGGGATTATCTGTGCTGTTGCTTTAATACACTCATCATATTAAGCTTTCTTTGAACTTGCAGCAGGGTGGTGCAAAGGCATTATTGTGAGCACTTCTGTGCTTTTTGTTTGTAAAAAAATGATGATTCCCATCATTTAGAAAGGTATTGATAGCAACATCCTGCTCTCACACTTCCAAAAGTACTTTGGAGGTATTAGTTCCTGGTTAGGGAAGCTACTGGAGGGGAAAATGCCCTGAATGTGAAAGACCTTTTGGGGGACCAGTATCACAGAGGGGTTGAAGCCATGAATTAGTACGAGAGGAGGGATGGAGGACAATGGTTCTCAAGGTGTGGTCCCCTGACCAGCAGCCTCAGCATCACCTAGGAACTGGTTAGAGAGGCAAAGCCTCATGAGTCAGAAACCCTGAGAGGAGCTCAGCAATCTGTGTTTTAACAAGGCTTCCAGGGGACGCCTGCTCATTTATGGGGTACAAGAATGCGATAGACCCCCCTGCTCTGGGGGTAGAGCAGGAGACAGCTGCAGTGTCTGCCCCCATGGCCCTTGTCACATTACCAAGGAACACGTGGTACTCACCCTGGGGCACTGTGTATGCATATCCAACGCAGCCTGTGATTATCATATGCACCATTTAATTTTTTTGTTTGAATTCGCCTGTTACCTTCTTTAGTTTCAGGAAATGACTCATGAAGGATGACTAATAAGCGATTCCTTTGTGCATTTCAGAACTGTCCCCCTTGCCATCTGTATATCCATGGCCATCGTCACCGTCGGCTACGTGCTGACCAACGTGGCCTACTTCACGACCATCAGCGCTGAGGAGCTCCTGCAGTCCGATGCCGTGGCTGTGGTGAGTCCAAGCGGGGGAGGGGCCGGCTGGAATTTAGGTTAATGAGTTGATGCAATTTTATAGCAGTTCCTTCCAGCAAAAAAAGGTTTTGAAATGCAGTAATCTTTCCCTGACCTGAATGATAATGAGTATTTAAAATTTTAGAACACATCTTAGCACATTCCGTTTAACTGACACAGCTAAAATCCCATATGGTTTCTCTGTAGTGTTAATTTCATGTAAAATATTTCTGCATACGCATGCTTGACAACACATTTCCACATATATACATCGAATCGAGGCATTATTTTTCTAACATGTCTTTAAGGACAGGTGGGCAGTTCCTGAATTTTTTTTAAAAAGTGCAGTTCTGGTATGCAAATTGCAATTTATATTGTACTCTTTCCTGCTTGTAAACTTTTCAAACATTTTTCCCAAAGTACCCTGTAAGGATTTCCTGGTTGACCATATATGTTTGTTTCTTCTAGTATATCCTTTTGAATACTAGTCTTGGGATATTATTAACTTGGGGGAATACTGAGTTATTCAAAGTTAAACGGATATCATTGCTATGGTGCTTCTCAGAATACTGAAGACACTAATGTGCATTTTAACTCCTTAAGGATGGATATCCAGAATTTTACATTTTCCAAAATTTATTAGAGTTCACGCCAGCCATGCTCCCAAAGGTCATGTTATGGGACTGTTATTCTGTGACCCGGACTTTTATTTCATATAAAAATTTAGGTGGTAAGAGAGCCTGTATGCATAACCTCATAACAATGAAGGGGGAGAAAATGACTTTCCATGATTAGGTGTCAGTTCCTTTAGAAATAGTCGCTATCACCTCATGTCAGCAATGTCAGTCAGGGAACAAATTATCTCATTTCCTGTGAACCTGTGTACGAGTGACTGTATTAAAAAACCAAAGACTCCGCCACTGATGTAAGTTCTAGAAGACACCCCGACAGACAGAGCTTCCTGATGCGGGGCCGGACGTCTCACCACACGGGACAGGGGGCGGCACTTGCTCTGAGCCGAAAGTCGTCTTTTCATTGCACACAGCCCCAGCTGCATCAGGGACAAGTAAAGAGTCGCAGTTTATTTTTTAGTTTTTACTTTGGAAAGGACATCCTTTATGCCGTGGCATAAAAGGAAAGTTCTTGTTTATCCCTTATATTTTCTATGGGTTGATTTCCTTGGACTTGGACATGTATGCTAGCCGTTTTATAGGAAACCACGGAAGAAATTGCCAGATAATTGAGACGGAGGGACTGTTCGATAAACAGAGATTCGGCTCCTGTGCTTACTTTACTCGGGGGAAAGGTTTTCAGAGCACAGCATAGATATGATGTAAATGGTTAAGTCATCAGGCCTTTTCTACCACACTTTTATGTTATAACAGTGGGATTGGTGTACGAAACAAGATTCTGTCATACTTCTCAGCGTACATTTGTGCTTTTCTATCAAAATGCGGCTTTCTTGGCTAAAGAGAAGGTGCTGTGCAAAAGGATTTCTATCTCCAGGAGCAGAACTTCTGGAGGAGCTTTTTAGATTTACTGAAATGATAGAAAATTTTGGCCAGAGCTGGTAAAGATTCAGTAAATGGATCATGGTTTTTTGAAAGTAGAGAACAGGTGCTTGTTTAGGCCTTTGCCCACATTTTTGCAACAAACAATGCCAAAGTACCTGATTTTAATTGTTGTCTACAGAGTTAGTCTGACCCTAAACAAAGAGAAGGGTTATAAAACACAGACATATCACCAGGCTAATAGAAAGTCATCGAGCGAGTCTGGTATAAATTGCTTCATTTTATTCCACTTTCTGGCAAAGCATTAATTTGCGTCATTCTGTCGTTCACCAGACCTTTGCTGAGCGGCTACTGGGAAATTTCTCATTAGCAGTTCCGATCTTTGTTGCCCTCACCTGCTTTGGCTCCATGAATGGTGGTGTATTTGCTGTCTCCAGGTGAGTGAGTTCAAGCATTTCCCGAAATGTATTTCTGTGTTTGAGATTGAATGGGATAAGGATAACTTTATAAAGAAACAGTGCCTCCACATCTGTTGTTTTTAAAGGAACATGCAGGATGAAATCTGCCCAGATCCCAACTCCATTGCTTATTCTGCCCATTAGAGGGCACTGCTCCCCTGCTCACCGCCAGCCAGAGGCTGGGCGTGCGGCATGTTTTTAATAGAATGTCTACAGAGTCTAGCAACAGCTCTTTTATTTCTGGTGATAAAATCTGTTGTTTCTCTAAAGGTGACAAGAGAAAGAGTAAAGTAAGAGACACCAGAAATCACCACCCCTCCCCGTCTGTATCCCTGTTGCTTTCTTTGATGCGAAAGACCCCTTTGCTTTAGTAACATAAGATTCAAACCCAATCAGATAAATATGAGCGTGAGATGTCATCCTTAAAAACGAAATAGCCAGTTGTTTACCAGGAAAATGAGCTCATGCGGGAGTAGCAGAGGAATTGCAATTTGGAACGTGCAAACTGTGGTGAAATCGTAGGCGAGGAGAGAGAACAAAGGAGAGGGGCTTGCTTTTATAGAGGGAAGGAGGGAGCTGAGGGGGCGGTTTTGGTTGAAAGGCCAGGGGAAGGGAGTGAGAGTTGAGGGTTGCCCTGGCTTCTCACCAGCTGGGTTATTGCTGGGCAAGGAGAAAAATGTCTTTTCTCCTGCTGAGGTAGTGAAGAAAGCATCTTCCTGTTGAGCTCCCTTTTCAGAGCTTCCCAAGTCCTTTTAAATGAGGTTCCCTTTAGTCCTGTTCACAGTGTGTGTGTGTGTGTGTGTGTGTGTGTGTGCGTGTGTGCATGCGTGTGTTGGACTGAATTGGATAGGCAGCACATGTACAATGCTGGGACCTAGAACTAAATTCCTCATCAGCTGTGGATATGTAGGGAGAGCTCTGCTGAGTCAGTTGCTGCTTTGTTTCATTCTCCTCAAAGAAGACTAGAGCATACGTTGGCAGATTTTATTAAATCCTAAGTCAGATTTCTCATGATGTTCTCTGCCTTATCTGAAAAGTGAGGTCTAAGTAATCACCTAAGAAATGTTCAGACCAGGTGGTATGAAAAAGGGGCACATTTTCTCCTAGATTTCTGGGCTTTTTCTCCCTCTGCAGTGATCAATTATACAGTTAACTCCACCGCCCCCCCGTTTTTCTCCCATCAGGTTATTCTATGTTGCGTCGCGAGAGGGTCACCTTCCAGAAATCCTCTCCATGATTCATGTCCGCAAGCACACTCCTCTGCCAGCTGTTATTGTTTTGGTAATGCATATTAACAACTATCTCTAGGTGTAACCTCGAATAACAGGTTAGCAAAGAGGCTGTCACACCAGGCTTCGAAGGGTACTTTCCTTCCTCATTCATTGCAAGAGCGGCTCTATGTGTGTCTTGGAGGAGGTTGGCAGGCGCGATGTTTTCCGCTGCCTCCCTTGACTCAGTGTTTCTGATGCACATTTGATGCCATGGGGCAATAACCACCATCACCTTTTTTTTTTCATATGTGTAGAGGTCTCGGGGAAAGGATTCAGCTTGGCTCCTGTCATTGACATGGGATCTCGCAGAAAGGGGTGCAGAGTAATAAGTCCCAATTCTAAGTACTGAGCATGGAGCTGAAAACCACAGTCCAAAATGGTACAGATGTCTCCTCATAGGCTCCTTATAATGAAACGCACACAAAATTATAGAGGGAAAAACCATGAAATCCTAGGCAGCGCAGTGATTCTGTGATTAAAAGGGAGACGTTTGAGAGCAACTCTACAAGGGAAGAACTAAAAGCACCAGCCAACTCTGAAATCTGAGTTGCAGAATTCTTCACTCAGAGAAGAGTATTTGTGAAGTGTGGGATACAGAAGCCTGTGTGAAGTTAAAAGTCCTCAAAACCCACCGGCCTTGGGATAGTCGCTTTTACCTACCATTTTGTAGCATTTTTCTCAGATGGAATCTGCTGTCAGGAGCACCACAGAATGCACGGAGCATATTTTTTTTTTCATGCATTTAATTTGTTTCAAAATGTTTCCTTGAAATTTCTTTGTAAAGTACACAGTAGACTGCGGGAGGAATCTGGAAGGTAATGGTCACTTGTGGGAACAGAATGTCCTATTCCATGAAGAGGCCTTTTGTCCTCAGCCTCCGCTATCAGTCATTCCATCCTTGGCCTGTGCAGCTGCAGGCACTGGCTGTGTGAGGTCTGCGCTGCGTTGTCCCCTGTGGTCTGGGGGGTCACCCGTGGCAGGCTTGTGAGGGCAGGAGAGGGGAGGAAGGAAAGGTCGCTGTTCTGCATTCAGGACCGACAGCGGCACTCAGGAGTGGCTGTGTCTCATCTTTGCGGAGCCAAGTGCCCCTCCGACCTTGCTGGCTGAGCTTGTGGCCAACCTTCCAAGAGGGTGCACTTCTGATTTTTGTTACTAGTTATTTATCAATCGTCTCAGTCTCTGGGTCTTCCCATTTTGAGCCATTGAGAATGACTTTGAAAACACAGCCTCTCCTGTCAAAATGGAAAAGCAACTAAAAAACCAAATATCCATATGAAGCTCCTTCTGAACACTGGGCCATGACGATGGTCCCCTCCTGCTGTTACTGGTGTGCACAGAGACGCTCAGGGCAGGACACAGGCAGGAGGTTAGGTTTTAATCCTCATGGTCATTTGTGGGTGTAAGGGACCATTTGAAAAAGAGAATAGCAAGGTTTACTACTGTGTGGCCGTTGCCTATGTTCCCCCGAGTCACCCCGCTCATTTTCTGTCCCTGCCCCCAGTACCCTCTGACGGTGGTGATGCTCTTCTCTGCGGACCTCTACAGTCTCTTGAATTTCCTCAGTTTTGCCAGGTGGCTTTTTATCGGGCTGGCGGTTGCTGGGCTGATCTACCTTCGCTACAAGCGCCCAGATATGCATCGTCCTTTCAAGGTAAGCTCGGCCATCTTGGTGGGCTCCCCTCAGTGTTTCCCCTGATGCCTGGTCCTGCCTTCGTCATACGCTGGTGATGGGGGGCCATGCTCTGCTGTAGAGTGTCTAACGCTTGCAGGTAGTGCCTTCAGAGTGGATTGATTCCAGCTCAGAAAAAGAGATCGTCGCTTTTTTTCCCCTAATGTGATGTACTGAGCTTTGTATGTCATACTTTTGAAAAGAGGTGGTATTAGTAGAGGATGTTTGTCGTGCTGATTTTTCATGAGTGCCAATGACCTGATAAATTCAAAGTATGGGATACTTTGATCTGTCTTTACGCTGAATATTTCTGGATGGTCAGACTGAGAGAGGGTGAGGCAGATACGTATGGCATCATATCACTCATTAAAACTCTAACCATGATGCTAACTAGGCATTTTAAGGATTTTTAAGTGTTACGACTTATTGCACTCTTTTTCTATGTTTTACACTCTAGAACGAATAAAGATGTAAAATATAAAGGGAAAATGAAGGTGTATGAACCTACCGCTTAACAGAAGGCATGTTAACCATAAGTCAGCATCCTTTAGAGAGGGCCGAAGAACACGCTGCTCATCCCCCTCAGCCTTGAGCCTTCATAGATTGATTTGTCCTCACTGTTTATAACAGATAAGGTTGTCAGTTATGTTGTTAGAATTTGTTGCTAATTATATTCACTGCCTAATCCCGGCAACATCTTCATTAGCGGTTGAATAGGAGTTGGCCTGTTTGTTCTTGTCGTTTCTTATTGTGAATCTCCAGCAGAAAATCAATATCCCCTGAATGGATTTAACATGTAAGTGGCAGCCCATGGTCCTGGCGCCACATTGAAGTGGATTCTAATCATAATTACCAAAGAGCCCATCTTTTAATATCAAAAACAGAGATTAGAGTGGTACTTAACTAGTAAAGTAATTCAAATAGAACTCCTGAAATGATACACATTTTTTTGTCCTTTAGATTTCATTCTATCCAAGGATTTTTTTTTTTTTTTTAATTAAGGGGGTATGAGTAATACATTCTTTGTGCCTCTTTAAAGAGATTTTGCTACTGAGGGAAGGTAGGATGGTGCTTGTCACTTGGTCACGTGAGCAACATATGGCCCAGTTATATGGCTGATGTTCCTGCCATGAAGCACTGCTGTTCCCCGCACCTGCTGGGAGTGATTTGTGTCTCCACTGTGTTCCAGGTGCCGCTGTTTATCCCAGCGCTGTTTTCCTTCACATGCTTCTTCATGGTGGCCCTCTCCCTTTATTCGGACCCGTTTAGCACGGGGATTGGCTTCATCATCACGCTGACAGGGGTCCCTGCTTACTACCTTTTTATCATATGGGACAAGAAACCCAAGTGGTTTAGAAGAATGTCAGGTAAGTCTTTTCAGCAGTTCCAGAACCTTTTCACAGACTGTTGTAGAAAGCTCATCTTTGTGTATGTGTACAGCACACACATCTTAACGTTTAAAAATGTCAGCAGGACAACTGCTTGTTTGAATATATTATTGCATTTTAACTAGAACCAGAAGAAGGAAAAGCAGGAAGCGTGTTTAGGGAGCAGCCACTGAACCCTCTCAGGGCAGTATTTTGTTGGGTTGCTTGGTCACTTCTTAGGAGAATAGCTTTCTTAGGGGAAAGTTTACCAGCACTTCTGAAAATGGCCTAATTGCTCTTCTGAGTGCTTTACTAGCCTAATTATTTTTATTCTGGGTGGAATGCAGTTTAGAGATTCTATATCATAACAGCCTCCTTGATGAGTGATATCAGATTTGGTAGGGAGTTAGGCAGAGGACTACAAAGGTCCTAGGTACATGATTATAGCACCGCGCTTTGTAATAGGCACGATAAGCCACACAAGCATCAAAGACCAGTAAGAACAAGGAAGAGAAGACTCACAGCTCTCATTTATTATATGATTCCATGTATTAGCACAGACACAACCTTAATTAATCTTCAAAAACCTTCTGAGTTGGGAAAACTATTTTTCCTATTTTATGGACTTTGAGTTATAGCATGGGAGAATTCATGTACCTTGTAACAAGTCACAGATGTTAGGTAGCAGAGCTAGTTCATACTCAGGCAGGTTTGTATTTTAGAAAAATCATCCGGGAGACAGTGAGGATGGATTGGAGGGATTGGAGGGTGAAGACAGAGAGCAGGGGTTGTTGGTGACTGCAGTAACCCTGAGGTGAGCTGGGGAGGGTCTGAGCACAGGCCGGGACCGCAGATCCAAGAGAAAGGGAAAGAAATTCAAGAGGAAGCGCCCGTAGAGCTTGGAGACCAGGCAAGTTGGAGGAGGAGAAAGTAGCAGATGGGTAGTGGGGAAGGTGCTGAGGAACAGCCTCTGTTGAAAGCCCCACCCTCTGTCCCGGACTCTGCCAAGGGACATGTTTTCCTTGTGTCATCATCTCTTCTAGTCCTCCACATGGTCTGTGCGTGAGGCCATTCCTATACCCAGATGGGGAAACCAGGCCTCGGGGGCGGGGGGAGATTTTATTTTGAATGTACGGAATGTAAACCATTGAGCTAGGATTTGAATCCACATCTGCTGGGCTGCAAACTCCATGGTTTTTCTAGATCAGGTGCCTGGGGAAAGAGAGAGGGAGTAAAAAATACAGCCAGAGAAGCAGATGTGTTCTTGTTGGTGAGTTTAGAAAAGAATCTTTGTTCTCATTTGTTTTAATTTACTTACTTTACCATAATTAATTTTTAAATGTTCAGCAAATAGTTCAGAGAGATTTCTGGTAAAAATATCAATAAATAATGTCGGTGCTACTAAAAATAAAATAAAAAACAACCAGGTGTATGTATTGCATCTCTAGTGTGCTCCTGAACTCATTTAGAAGCCAGTCATTTAAAATAGAGTTTTGCTACTATTCCTTTTTATTAGCTTTTAATTGGTATATGGTATCTTTAGACCTTATTTGTACTGTTTATACTGAAGTTTGTTTCCTAGTTGGCAACACTATTCCCCAAAGAAGCGTTACTCTAAAAGTTAGGCTCTGTAAGGCTAACACAGGCACACTGATTGCCTAGCAGAGTATTTAATCTCTGTTTCTCATTAGATTACATTAGTTTTCTGTAGAATATTTTTAGTTATGTCTTCTCAGTTGTAGGCAACACGATTCTGAAAGAGAAAGAAAGTCTTGTTCAACAGCGTTTACCATTAGGGTTGCTTCCCTCATTACGAACGTCCAGGGCAGATTAATACTCATGACTGTGAGATCTGGGTCTGTCTCAGGTCCTGGCCGGACACAAGTGAGACCCCGGAGCCCCACGCAAAACCAAGCGTATGTAGGAGGAAAGAGCTGGTGGCCCTGGAGTCGGAGACGACTCCTTATTTCCTCGCACTCAGCAGGCATTGTCTTCCTCCTGCCCGTAGTAAGCCAGCTGTAACACTTCGCTCCTTTCGCTAACGTGTACGTAGTTTGCACCATTGTTTTGCTCAGTGTGTGCCTACTAATACGTTCTGCGCCTGCTCTTTCTTTGATGTGTTTCCCTGCCATTGTGCTTTTCAAGTTTTGGGTTATTTTACTGTCTCTAATGATGTCTTGAACATCTCCAAGGACTGCAGATTTAGTGGTAGCCGTTTGTGAAAGTGACAGCGATGTAGTAGTCTCGTAATGGTTATTTGGTTCTCAAAAACACTGTTAAGTCTCACCAAGGAGCGTGGCGGTCCTGCCTTGGAACTGCGCTCATTGTCACCCTTTATCTTTATAGCTGCCTTGGAAGTCCTCCCTCAATTTTCTTTGATTTTCCTCTTAGGCGGCGTTCTTGTAACAAAATAAAAAAAAAAATTCATGGTATTTATTGCTGCAATAGCAAGTATTTTCCTAGCCTTTGGCCAAAACAAAAGGTGCGCATACAGGCAGACGGAACAGCAGAGTCTTGAACCAGAACGCCACCTCTCCCCCGGCCGCCTCCGTGCTGTTAGAGGCAAACCCCGTGTGAACTTGGAGGCCAGAGAGCCTCTGCTTGGAGCAGTTCGCTCAGTAATTTCATATCAGATTGTCTTGTTGGGTAACATTCTTTAGCCTATGTATTAGCCTTGATTCTTACCCTAACAGCCATGAACCCATTAGCCTGGTGAAATGATGGTTTATCAGAACACATGTCCCTGAGGGTGCATCTATAAAACACGCAAGGCCACCGAACAGCTGTCAGGAAATGTGAATGGCCGCTCTGTCCAGACAGCCAGGGAATGCTCTGAACCTGAGGATGTGAGGTTTCCAGAGATCCGATGAATTTTCTGGCCACAGGATGCCAGTATTGAACCACGTTTTGTTTGATAGCATCCCTAGAGTGAAAAGAAAATGGGCTCTTCAGGGAACAGTCAGGCACCCAGAAAGCTTTTTGTTGCTGTCTGTGACAGAGTGCTTCCTTCTTCTGGCTGTTTATTTTTATTTATTTATAGAAACACAAGCTCCTCACCCAAGGAAAGCAGGGCAGATACCCCACTGACATGCCCACCTGGGGGTACCTAGCCCTGGCAAACCCTGGCCAGGCTCCGGGCAGCCGCTTCCCTTGATTGCCCGGATTCATGAGCCAGACTCTGTTCCTGCTGGGAGGGAGCGGGGTGACTGGCAGTTGGTCCCTCTCGCTCAGGGCAAGATACGGAGGACAGCCACGCTTAAACAAAACCTTCGGTGGCGAAGACTCATACTGGGCAGCCCCAGCAAAACGTATCCATTTCTGTGGATTGGGGCCAGGCAAGTCCAGAGCCCTAAAATCACAAGCTGCTGACAGTATGCTGCTGTGACTTCATTTCCGAGACCTCCCTGGGAGCAGCCTAATGCACCGGACAGACGCTGCCCGAGGACCGCGCGCATTGCAGTTCGTCAAGCTGGAATGCATTTCCCAAGGGGCCAAATGAGACCATCCACGTGAAAAGATTCTGAGGTGTTTTTTTTTTTTTTTAAAGTAGATACTAATATTCTTATCCTGACTCCTGGGGAAGATTTTGTGCTACTGTTTCACGAGTTCTGGCTGTAGGTCCTGGGCTTGCACCAAACATGGTTGGCAAGTCAGATTCTGTGAGGTTGGTGGTGACCCCCACTGGTTTCAGGAACACCTGCTGAATACGAACGGTGAAACTGAAGCTGTGACCGTTGCCATTTGGTCTTGTAGCTTGTGGTTGCTGAAAACACCCAGTGTATACTCACTGGCTCCACTTTATTTCAAGAAATAGTACCATGGTGTTGATCATCCCCAAAGCCAAAGGACTTATGTGAGCATGGATGCCGCACCCCTGGGCTTTCCCGGGCAAGCGGGAAGCATCCTTGGAGGCTTTCTCGGGCACCGGTCTGAGCCCATGGCTGTAGATAACCTAGAAGAAAATGGTGTGGAAATAACAGCAACTCAGAGGCAAAATCAGTCACTCCGCCCAAACCTCCACAGTGTTGAGGATCATCCAAATCCTGACGCTCCGAGAGAGCATAAGAAAGTCGTGGGAGACCCAGGACCAAGTGGATGTGGAGGAAGAGAAATGACTGGGTATGAGGAACCAAAAGGGAGATTCGTTGGCCCCAGACGTGCAATGGAACAGAAGACCCAGACTGGATGAACATTCAGGAAGGAAAATGTCGCACTTTTAGGAAAACAGTACGATCTCTAAGTTGCTGTCCCTTTGTCAGGACCCGATGCAGCGTTGTGAACCAGGTAAGCAAGATGTCTAAGGAAACAAAAGGCTGGTGGTCCTAGAATACAGAATCACACTTCAGAAGAGGCTTCTGTTTTGAAGATGGAGGAGCAGATGCTGATTACGAAAGACAGTTATTAAAAGAAGAAAACGAAAAATCTCAGGAGATAAATGCATGCATAGACACACACACACGACCGGTGTGGAGAGAGTTCAGGGAGCTCCAGCACACTTCTCCAGGGGGGAAGGAAGGGCTGGGAGGATGTCAGTTTAACCCCACGGCTTTGCTCTTGACCACAGCAGGCGCCTGAGGCCTCTCGCTTCACCCTTCGTCTGCCTGCAGCTTCTTCTCTGCCTGCAAAGCCACATCTTCCTACTATTGATTGACGCTCTTCTACAGTTTGTTTTTCTAGGGTAATTCTACCGTTTTTCTTTCCTGCAAGCACGGACTTTTATTGCTCTTGAGTGTTCCCTTGTGCTTCATGGACATCTCCATGTAGAATGGGCTGTGACAAAGTATAATTTATTTAAGAAACATGTGCATAGAGTTTACCATTTGCCAGAACTGTGCCAGACCCTGTATAATTGATGGATATTATAAAACGAGTGTGCTGAGGAAAACAACTTGGGGGAAAACAACTGTTATAAAGTGAAGGTTGAAAAGACAAACTTTTTTAGTGGTATTAAATAGTGCTTGGAAGGGCCTTGTGACAGGGAACAAGTCAGAAAAGACTGTCTTGTTGAGAGATGGTCTGGGTCTGAAACCATCAAAAAGGGAGAGAGGCTCCAGGTCCAGAAGCAGTTTGAAGAGTTTTTATAGAGACTTATGACAATGATAAGAGGTGAACAACAACTAACAACCCAGGAAACTAGAGTCACAGGGTTCTAGGACTGCCGATATGAACTGATCTAGCTCCGTGGCTCCTACATTTTAATCTCTACCAGAATCACTGATTTCTGGACCCTACCTTCAATTTCTGATTTAGTAGGTCTAGAATGGGGCATGAGATGCCTTTGTAATGTCTCGGCTGGTTTGCGGAGAACACTTTAAGAACCACTGACCTCGTCCAAGTCTCTTGTTCTCCTTTTTTAAATTAATTTATTTTTATTGAGATGTAATTGACATATAACATTGTGTAAGCTAAAGGATACAATATGCTGGTTTGATACAATACATTTATATATTGCAGTATAATTACTACAAGAGTATTAACTAACATCTCTATTATGTCATGTATTTGTCATTTCTTTTTTTGTGTTGAGAACAGTTAAGATTTGGTCTCTGGGCAACTTTTACAATATAGTACATTGACTATAATCACTATGTTGTGCATGAGATATCCAGAACTCACTTAATTACTAGTTGTAAGTTTGCACCTTTAAACAGCATCTTCCCAGTTCTCCCTCCTTCAACCCCTCATTATTACCATTCTACTCTGTTTTTATAAGTTCAGTATTTTTAGATTCCACATATAAGTTATTTCACACAGTAGTATTTGTCTATCTCTGCCTGACTTTTCTCACTTAGCATAACGTCTTCAAGGTCTACCCATGTTATTGCGAATGGCAGGATTTCTTTCTCTCATGGTTAAATAATATTCCATTGTCTGTGCGTGTGTGTATCACATTTTCTTTATCCATTCATTTGTTGATGGACACATGAGCTGTTTTACATCTTGGCTTGTGAGCAAGGCTTCAGTGAACATGAGTGGGCAGCTGTCCCTTCGAGATACTGATTTCAATTTGTTTGGCTGCATCCTTCATAGTAGGATTGCTGGGTCATATGGTAGTTCTACTTTTAATATTTTGAGGACCCCTCCATACTGTTTTCCCTAATGGCTGTTCCAATTTACATTCCTACCAAAATGTATACTTATAAGGGTTCCCTTTCCTTCACATCCTTGCCAGCATTTGCTATCTCTTGTCTTTTTTTTTTTTTTTTGAATATGGTTTTTTAATTGCCTGTCTTATGTGTCTGATTTATATGTCCCAGGCCAGCAAGCCACTATGCTCCACACAGTCATTGGGAAGCCTGGTACCTTCCACCTTGTGTCTGCTACTTCAAGTGTAGACTGTAGACAAGTTTAGTCCATGAGCTGCTTGGTAATGGTACCACGAGATGAGTCATAATGTCCTAACATGTATATGTGACATCTCATTGTGGTTTTGTTTTGCATTTTCTGATGATTAGTGATGTTGAACAACTGTTCATGTATATGTTGGCCCTGAATGTCTTTTTTGGAAAGTGTCTAGTCAGACTCTTTGCATATTTTTTAAATTGGCCTATTTTCTTTTTGTTTTATTGAGTTATCTGAGTTCTTCATTTATTTTGGATGTATGCTTTGCTAATATTTTCTCCCATTCTGGATGTTGTCTTTTAAACTTACTGATTGTTTTCTTTGCTGTGCAGAAGCTCTTTAGTTTAATCATGCTTGTTTTAATTTTTTTTTATTGTCTGTGCTTTGGTGACTGAACCAAGAAATCATTACCTAGACGATTGTCAGGGATCTTTTTTTTCCTGTTTTCTTCTAGAAGTTTTGTGGTTTCGGGCCTTTCATTTAAATCTTTGCTCTAGTTCAAGTTAATTTTTTGTGAGTGGCATAACAGGGGTCCAGTTTCTTTCTTTTGCATGTAGATATCCAGTTTTCTGTCCATTCCCTATTGCGTGTTCTTGGTATCCTTGTAAAAAATAAGTTAATTATCTATATATGGGAGTTATGTATCAGTTCTCTTTTGTTCTACTAATTTATGTGTCTCTTTTCATGCCATACTATTTTGATTACTACAGCTTTTTAATATAGCCTGAAGTCAAGTGTTGTGATGCTTACAGCTTTGTTCTTGCTCAGTATAACTTTGGTTATTTGGTTATTTGTGAACCAGGTAAGCAAGATGTCTAAGGAAACAAAAGGCTGGTGGTCCTAGAATAAAGAATCACACTTCAGAAGAGGCTTCTGTTTTGAAGATGGAGGAGCAGATGCTGAATACAAAAGGCATCTTTTGTGGTTCCAAACAAATTTTATGATGGTTTTTCTATATATGTTAGAAATGCCATTAGGATTTTGATCAAAATTTCACTGAATCAAAGGTCACTTTTGATCATATGGACATTTTCGCAATACTAATTCTCCCAATCTTGGAACACGAGACATCTTTCTATTTTTATTTAAGATGTCTTCTGTGAACAGAGATAATTTTACTTCTTTCTTTCTGATATGGATGCCCTTTATTTCTTTTTCTGCCTAATTGCTCTAGCTAGGACTTCTAGTGCTATGATGAGTCACCCTTGCATTTCTGAGATAAATTGCACTTCATCATGGTGAATGATCCTTTAATGTGTTCTTGAATCTGGTTTGCTAATATTTTGCTGAGAATTTTTGCATCCATATTCATCAGAGATATTGGTCTGTAATTTCCCTTTCTTATAGTGCCTTTGTTTGACTCTGATATCAGGGTAACGTTGCCTTATAAAATGAGTTTGGGAGTCTTCCCACTTCTTCAGCTTCTTTGAACAGTTTGAGAAGTCTTGATGTTTATTCTTCGTGTTTGGTACAATTTGTTGGTGAAAGCCCCCGCTCCTGGCTTTTCTGGGTTGGGAGGTGTTGATGGGTCTGACCCTTGAGCTGCCTGGGGAGTGGGACTCACGGTAGTGACAGTGCCCCTGGCAGTGATGGGTCGGAGCCAGGACCTGGGACCCAGGGGCAGGGCTTGGGGCAGCAAGAGCCATCTCAGCAATGACAGTTCAGAGTCTTGACCAGGGACGGGGGAGGGGAAGGCTAGGCGGCGGCAGCGCAGACCTGGGGGGGCAGCCAACATGTGACTTCGGGACCCTAGTCGTGGTGGTGGGAAAAAGCCCCACCGCGGGCTGAGCTGGGCAAAGAGCAGAGGCTGCTCAGGTCTCCCGGGTGTTGAGGTGCTGTGGCTCCCATCCCTGTGAGCGGGGCACAGCACCAGCTAGGAAGCCTGAGGCCAACTCTCCCCTCAGCAACAGCTCCAGCCTGTGGGAACAGATGCAGAGGTGGGGGCCTCCAGGCTCCCCTCGGGGGGTGGGGGGAGCAGCATGCCGAAGACCCAGGGAGGCCTCCCCAGCAAAAGCTGCCGATGGCCGATGTCCGCAGCCGTGAGGCTGGCTGGGGTCCTCCGGTTCTCCCTGTCGGGGACCTTCCTCGGGTCTCCGGCTGGGGGACAGGGTGATGCAGGCAAAATGCTTTCTCACCTGTGCCACCACCCTCGAGTTTTGAGCTCTGCCAGGCTGCTGCTTCTTTGTTGTCTAGAGCTTTTCCTGAGTTGTTTTCTTCAGTTTGTCGCTTTTCGTTGTTTTTGCTTTTTAAGGGGGTGATGAGCGTTGGGACCTTCTGGCCCTTCGCCTTGCTGAGCTCGTTCCCGAGTCCCTCCTTCCTGTTGATGAGGCAACTGAGGTCCCGGGAGATTAACTGTTTTGCTCAGTAATAGACTATAAGTTTGTGACTGAAAATTTTATTCTGAATCTTCTCCTGATTTTGCTGAGGAATTGATTATAATCTCTTAGGTGCAAAAACAACAAAGCCATTTTAAACTGAATATGAAATGTGGTTTTGAACATTTATTTATATCTTGATTCTATTGTCTCAAAATATTTCAGCTTTCCAATTCATAGTAAAATGCCTTATTTTAATATAAAATATTAATATATTCTTAGGGAAATTAGAGAAGTGACACATTAATTGAGCATGATAGGATTCCAAAGAAGTAAATAATTCTTGAAAGTACTCTATGAAATAGCGGTTGTGTGTTTTCAGTATCTGACCCAAAATAATTCAGATTTTACTGTTTTCTATGCATTTCTGATTTCTGTGCATTTTTAATTTTTCTTCATTATTTCTTTGTAGGCAGAATAACCAGAACATTACAAATAATACTGGAAGTTGTACCAGAAGAAGCTTGTCATAAAGTATGAATTAATGCATTGGAAATCGTGGCAGTCTCTCCTTGGCCTTGTTTCTGCCCAAAGGGCTGAAACAAAATATGGACGTTCACTTCATTTTATGAAAACCCAGAAGATTCCAGCTCTGGTGATGGACTAAAGGAATCAGTTATTTCTATTCATATCGTTTAGCATATTCAAACTGGTTTCTAAGAAATGTAGTTATAACTCCATGTAGTTGGAGAAAGCTGATAGGCAACTTATACCCTGAGTTCCCACGATTCTTGCGTCCTGATGCCTAACCTGTTGAGGTGAGGGGAAAATACTATGGAACGGACAGTTGCTTCAGTGGTCTGTCTCTACAACATATCATGGTGAAAACCTTCACAAGGAAGACTGAGTTGTTTTCTGTATATATGGGATTTGTAAAAACAATTTTTACATTGTAGAGATGACCATACTGTGAAAAGTGTTTTCTATTAATCAAAAGAAAGGGGGGAAAAAAGCATACATCAACATTATGGACCAAGGAAAGAAAGAAATTTGTTTCACGTTGGCATTGCATTGCTTCCCTATAGATACCGACTTAGGTATCATTCATCTTTTAAGGGGTGATACTCAAAGCATTTTGAACAAAGGGCAGAGGGGATATGCCTCATGTTTAATGAACACTTTAAAGAAGAGCTTTTAGGAGCTATTGTTTATGGGACAAACCCAAGAATTATGTGTAAGTAAAAACCCTTGAGGGTTTATTATGTTAGGATGTTTTTCGCTTGTCAGCAGCAGGCTCCGTGGTTGGGTGGCATTTTGTGTTTCAGAGCAGCCCGTTTGGGCAGGAAAGGATGCGACCCTTTCCTGCAGCAAAGCAACAATCAGGTTGGTAAGCACGGTCACCGCTTGATGAATAACTTACTTTTGATAAATACATCGAAATACGTGCCTTTTCAAGTCGTCAAATTACAACGTCGGCATAAGAAAGAAGTGCCCACAATATTATGCCCAATTCTACGATCGTGTCTGAGTGCAGTGCTGGTGATTCTGAACATTTTTTTATTTCATAGTTATTTTTACATGGTGATGAATTTTGACAGGTTGTACGTTTCCTTTACATATTTTATATTCTGTTAAAATATCTCTTTGGATAAAACTGTCCAGATCCATTAGGGAAAGATATATATTTACATAAAAATTGAGGAAGAAATGTCACTGCTAAATAAGATTCACAACCGATGTTTCTAAAAATTTTCCACCTCTGTATCTAGGATTTGCCATTAATTTCCTCACCTTAATTATCATTCTACTTGCAAAAGAGATAACTGATAAAAAATTCACTAAAAGAAGTAGAAACTGTGTATGCATATGTATATCCAGACAGGTGTTCTGCTAGGCTTAGAAAATACTGTGCAATTTTCTACTGAAAGTGATATCATGATGAAATTTCTTAGCTGTTATTTACACACATCTAAAGTTAAGGAATTCATTATAGCCAGAGTATGTTCCATCCTTTAATTTCTTTGTCCATTTGAAAATAAGAATTTTTGAAAGAATTGCACTGATTAAAATAATCAAAAGAAGATGTAGAGTTCACAGATAATTGGCCAAAATAGCAATGATAATTCATAACTTGAGGCAATTCCAAATCACAAATTTCAATTTTTGCTCTTAGTAACAGTTTAAATAGATCCAAGACTGACATTTTTCAGCCAAACCTAGCGTTTGGGTCTCTAAGTAAATTCATAAAAGTTTTTCCTTTCTCTCTTACCATAGGGTTTCAAAATTTGATCCAGAGTCTCTACTTCCTATATCCATTTATCCATATATCTTCCCACTATTTTGTTGCTGGAGATAAAAATAAATTTCCTTTATATTCTTATTTTTTAATCTAAACCAGGAAACTCTTCTTGAATTTTTTTTTTGTGTGTAATGAAAAAAAAAGTGAAATCTCATGGAGAGTTTCGTGTGGTGTGGATGGTCCCTGAGGTTAATGTGCTGATATCAACAGATGTCTCCACATTTCATTTATTTCCTTATTTTCCATTCTAAGTTCTCCTTAAACATATCACTGTGCCGGCTAAGTAGCATACATATTCATTATTTTTCCCATTATTATCAAAATGATTTTTCATTATTGAAAAATTGTTATTAAAATGGTATTGTAATACCATTTTAACCAGACAGAAAATCAGTAATTTTTTAAGAAAGTAATGGCGATTAAGTTATACTTTAATTCATTTTTAGGTTACATCATGACAAGACACGGCATTTCTGTAGTCGAAGAATCAATATTCATCATTGCTATTCAGGATGGTGTCATGTAGAAAAGACCTCTGACTCCAGACCAAACATGCATGTTAGGCATGTGCATGCACAGGTGTGCTTTGCTCATACCGTATGTCCCTCAGTGCCGCTGGCACAAACTTAGGACACATTATTAGGATATGTTAGAAATGCATGACAGTTTATCTAACACTAAAATAACTATATTGAAATAAGTTTCCAGATTGTGTTATGTATCTGGTAAAATTGTTTCCCCATTTGCTATTTGATACATTAACAGAAGGTTAACATGAGTATAGGTACATCACTCAACAGAATTCTTCATGAATGATAACTAGTCTTCAGGAAACTTATTATTTTATCTCTACCTGAAGATAAGCGTATGAGACTAAGAAAGGGAGCATCTTTGACCTGTAGTTAGTTTCTTATAACTGAGGTAGGTTAGGAAAGGATAGAAAACCAGAGCTCAGAGTAGCAGGAAATGAAAGTAGTATATGATTGGGGGTAACAACATTTTGGTATAATTTGTTATGCAGTATAGTCAGAGAAAAATCAAAAATTAAGTGCCTGCTACGCATAGGTGGCTGTCCTGAGACGCTAATGAAACAAAAGCTTCAGTGTCATTCACACAGACATGCCCCTTCCAATGTCCTGGACCTGATTTTACACAAGGAATTACGTATTAATTTCCCTGAAGAAAATCAGCAAAATTGTATATACTTCTGACCCTATATAATCATATACCTCTTTGAGTAAGAAGGTGAAATATTTCCATTAGTTTTTCTATTAGAAATAAGCTTGTGGTATGTGTGTGTATACACACACACACACACACGGTCCAGGACAAATGATGCCCCTTTTTTACGAGCTGGTAATCTATAACAAATCTTTACAAGATCATAAGCATATAATTCTGTAACATAACATCACACTCAAGCACAGCATATGATGTTTTAGGTGAAATGTTCAAATTGCTGTCCATCTCATGCGAAACTTTCACTTTCCCTACCAACCACGGTCAGTGGCGTTACTTCTGCTGGACCCTGTATTTTATATTTTTATTGATTTAAAAGAGGGAGAGAGAAAAAGAAAGGGAAGGCGAGAGAGAAAGAAAGAGAGAATGACTTGTTCCACTTATTTATACGTTCCTTTGTTGCTTCTTGTGTGTGCCCTGACCAGGGATCTAACTGGCTCTCTTGGCATATCAGAATGACCCTCCAACCACCTGAGCCACCCAGCCAGGCCAAGACATATTTTTAAATAAAGTTGAGAGTTAGTTGAACTATCTATCTATAAGTGGCTTTTTAATAATATACATTATGTAATATATAAGGAGAGAGTTTCGCCTTTGGCATTTTTTTTTGTCAGTTCTGAATGATAGAAAAACGATAAATGGGATTCTAATTGTAGGTCTTTGTTTTTTAGGTTGGAAAGAAATGTAGAGAGATTTGGGATTTGAATGCAGATGAAATTTAATTTTACTTAAATATAACCTTGCTTCACTTTACTCTGTATGATGTGTTAAGTGTTGTATGTTGGTGCTGATGATGTTTACAGTTACATTTGACTTTACGACCAAAGTCAGGAATTGAGGGATGTCATTGTGTAACTGGCTGTAAGCTCATGGTGGATATAAGTTAGAGTAGGTAATGAGTCATTTTGACAGCTTTTGTTTACATTGGTAATATACAGGTAAAAGAATTACTACTCATAAATGTTTTTTAGGATAACTTCCCATAAATGGCATTTTTAATCTTTCTCAATATAAGTAATGCCTAAAAGGGTAACCTCTAGGTAGTATTCTTACTGTACTTAAAAGGTATTTTAATATCCATTTTTAAGAAATAATCCTTTCTTCTCTTTGTTGTATTTTTCATATTAGTTGGTGTGAAAAAAATAAATGTTCAGTCTAGTTTTAGGTTTGATACAAATACACAAAGGCATAAAGTGTGGTATCTCAGAAAGTTCGCCAGTTTTCTGTATGGTGTGAGATATTGCTCTTCTTTATATCCCTGAAGAAAATTAACTTGATCTCTTTGAACCACTTCTCTCATTTTTGGAATGAATCAATGATTCCCTTGCTGTTATTTTTTCGCATTATATCCTCACGATAGGAGTGAGTTTACACAATTACCGATACTCTTAGTGGGAAATTACCACTTAGGTTTCCCTCCTTGGTAGCCCCACCTCACCCTTCTCTGTTACCACTGGCTTTAAAATATCACTGGAAGACAATAACAGTCTCCAAATACCTATCTGTTACATGAGTGTTTTTCAGCTGTGTAGATCAAGGGTGCATTTAAAGTATCAATAACTGCCTTACTAGTTTTATAGGTATCCGTCCTATCAAGAAACTGTGGAGAATTAGGCATGTAAGCGCCAGACAGAAATGGATGCACTGGTTTGAAAGTGAACATACTTCTTTCCCTCACCATATACACTACTGATTTTGTTTAAAGTATGACTTTCAAGTGAATTAATTTATTGGTTAGAAGACTTGCCTGCTGGATCCTTATTACCTCTTGTGGACGCCTCCAAAGGCTACACTGAAAGCTAGAGGGAAGATACAAACTAATGCACAGTTATCTCTTTTGCATCAGTGACTGTATTTTGAGCACCTTGTGTGACAGGGCATCTTGCACAGCACCTTGCGGGAAAGCAGCCGGCCTTTGGATGCTACGGCTGTAACGGTTGGGCTGTGAGGTTCGGCCGCCCTCCTTCCTGCCCGTGCTGCGGCGCGAGCTGGGAAGCCTGTTTGTCTCACACGGGGAAGCAATGCAATGCGGTTCCCTGGTTCTACATGGGAACTGTCTGGTTTCAAAAGATTTCTTAGTAGTTTTTCCCTAGCATTTCTCCTTTGTTCCAAATTTCCATTTACTGACTAATGGAATATAAAAATATTATATTTAAGTAGAAAAATAGTTTGGAGAAATAAAACAGATTGTTTCAAATGAGTGTATGCTTGTAAAGAACAGAATTGACCTATATTAAACTACTGTGTAAATTGATAATTTTGGACACTACCACATAGCACTTTTTAATTGCTCTGGAAGCAAAAATCAATACATATAGTAATGGTTATCACACAAACCACAGGAATCCTCCCAAAATTTTTAGTAGCCTGGGATTATTTTGATCCTTTCCTTGGAGAAATGTTTTACCTAAGGGTTTAACTTTGTGAATGTTATTGCTACCGCTATAAATCTGGAACTGAATTCTTAATACTTAACAATACTCAACATTTTGAAAAGTGGGGTCTTCTTTTTACATTATCCATGTTTAGAGAATGACATCTCTCTTTACTCTTTTAGGCTATTTGGGGCAAATGCCTGTCAGGTATGCCCACATTTCTTTCTCTTCTTAAACCGATTGCAGCACAATGGTGATGAGTTTGCAGTGGTACCTTCCAAATGTTTTGACGTTTTGCAAACATAACCATCAGATGTGCTGTAAGTGCATTGCTTCATACCATAAAATAGAGTGTCTCTGGTGAAACTGGGGAACAGCCATGTGGTTGTGTTTTACTGATCTTAAA